CCCCCCCCCGCCCCTCGTCAGCACCTGCCTTCCCACGTGACTATTTCTGTTTCCTATCCCTTCTTTTCGAGAATGGGAGCTCCACATGTGCAGGGAGAGAACCCTGTCTGGTCCCATGCATGGTACATAGCACATGCTCCATAAGCGTTTGTGGGTGATGACTGAATTGGGAGATTGAGTGGCACTGTTTCTGCTGCTCTATGTTATTAGCATGACAAATGTGTAAGACCCTACCCTGGGGAAGGCCAGGTCTTCTGTCCCTGGAGCTAAACAGAAAGGTGGTGAGGGGAGGCATAGATGGTTATTTGTTTGGGAGATGACCTCCTGTCTTCCCCTACAAGGCCCACATGGACCATCACTGACCTTACCCACAGAGGGAAATCCAATCAGCGCCACGCGGGCATCGCCTGACTTCATGACATCGAAGCCTTCTCCTTTGGATGAGGCAGATTTGGATGGTTCCAGGAGCTGGGCCCGATACTTGGCAAGTTTTGCTTTCAGCAGGCCCAGATGGTACTCAGTGGCTAAAAGATATAAAACAAGACAGAAGGTAAGTGTCCAAGGTCTCCAAGCTCAGTAGGTCAGATGGGGCCCACAGATGACCAAGCGTTAGCTGGGAACATCAGAATCAGATGCGATCATTGTCAGGAGACAGGAAAGATAAAAACCACTCCTCTGCTTAAAAGGCCCATTAGCTTCTCAATTCATTTAGAATAAAATCTAGTCTCCTTGTTGAGACCTTACCACCCTATGTCAGTAGTTCTCAACAAGGGAACACTACTCCCTGGGGGCATTTTATGTTCACTCTGATGGTAAAGTCTTCACTAGCAGCTATTGGGCAGGGGTCAGGGAAACCAGCTACTCTACAAGATGAGTCAGTCCTGCACAGCTAAGAACTGACTTGTCATGTTCTAAAGACACCCAGAGGGAATAGCTAGGTTAGGGCCTCCAGGGTCTAGCACACAGCTCTATTCACATAGAAACACAGGACATTTCTTACAACATTAACACATACCAAAATTCCTAGGAATGCAACTTCTGGACATGTAAAAGGGAGCCTCTATTTGAAACTTTACCTTGAGCTACTCACCACTCCAGGATGCCAGGCTGTCACAGCAGTGCCTCTTGTAGGATATGTGAGCAGCCAACACCACACACTTGCACTGGTGCATGATGCCTGCCCCATCCTTAGTGATTCCACCACAGGTGTGAGCATCTTACTGCTTCATTAGAACTTCACTACGTTTTGGCAGTACCCCAACATTTATATTGCAATAAACACTATTTCCTTTATTTTATTTTATTTATTTATTTTTTTGAGACAGAGCCTCAAGCTGTCCCCCTGGGTAGAGGGCTATGGCATCACAGCTCATAGCAATCTCCAACTCCTGGGCTCAAGTGAGTCTCCTGCCTCAACCTCCCAAGTAGCTGGGACCACAGGCGCCCGCCACAACGCCCAGCTATTTTTTGGTTGCAGCTGTCATTGTTGTTTTGGTGGACCCGGGCTGGATTCGAACCTGCCACCTTAGGTGTATGTGGGTGGCGCCTTAGCCACTTGAGCCACAGGCGCTGAGCCTAAACACTATTTCCTATATAAATTACTTTCCTTTTTTGCCTCCTTTATATTATTTTTAAGATATTACATTGAATTTTTTCAAATTCCATGGGCACATAGTTATAGATAGGAGATTTCATTTCAGAACAATAACAAGGATATTACAAAATCCGCTATAAATGGGGGTTGTGGTTAAGACTGAAGATCAGGACCCCAAGTGACCTGGCCCCTGGCTACTTCCACACATCTCCTACCATTCTCCCTCATCCCCTACCTTCCAGACACCAGGGCTTCCCCCCTCCCCCCTCAGAACATGTTGACCTCACTCCTGCCTTAGGACCATTGCTAGTCCCTCCAATTCAATCAGATCCTCCCAAAGCTGGTTCCTTCTTACAAGTAGAGATGCAGTTCAAAAAACCCCACTTCAAAGGGGCCTCCCCTGCCCAGCCTTTCTGGGCAGTGTCATATAGAGTCTGACAGTTTTATGTTAGAATCCTACCCTGCCTTTATTTGCCATTTTACTTTAGAAAAGTTACTTAATCCTCTTGTGCATCAGTTTCTTAATCTACAAAATAGGGATGTTAACAGTAATAACTACTTCATCAAATTTCTTTAAGGCTTAGAGAAAGCACTAGGAACACTGCTTAGCACATAGTAAGCACCCAATAAAAGTCGGCTGTTATTACCTTTGGTAAGCCTCACCCCTCTGCCTCATGAATGCATTTACTCAATAAACAGCCCCTTATTACTTTTTGAAACTATTTTGTTTCTTTACTTCTCTAACTCTAAGAGGTCAGAAACTGGGACTGTTGATAGTTGTATTCCCAGATTCTGGCACAGGGCCTGGGTGCTCAGGAAATATTTTAGCAAATAAATGAGTGAAATGATGATAGTGAGAAAGAGTCAAGGATGGGTTCAGAAATAGTCAGAGTCATACAGCCCTTCCTGTCATCCTAGCTCACAAAATTCTGAGCACCTCTGAGGAAGGACTAGGTCTTAATCACCCTTTCATTCCTTTAATTCACTACTGCCAAAGTGGCAGCATCTGGAGGCCTCTGCTATTTTTTTGGGTTCTTATAGCTAATATTCCACACAGCAACCAGAGGGAACTTTTAAAACAAATGAGTCTCTCCCCTGTTTAATACCCTCCACTAGCTCCCACTGTCCTAGAACACAACTCAACATCTTTCTTACCCATGACTTGTAAGGCTCTGCATGATTGGCTCCCTACTCTCCCATTATTCTGCATCCTAGCATTAGACCCGTTGTTCCCTGAACACATTAAGTTTGCTCCTGGCTCAGGCCTTTGCACTAGCTGTTCCTTCTGCCGGGAATAGTCAGTCTCTTAGATTTCTGCATGGCTAGTTCCTTCTTCTCATTCATGTCTCAGCTCAAATGCCTCATCTTTATGGTGGTCTTCTCTACCATCCCACCTACTAGACCCTTGTGCCTTCCTCGCCAACATTCTATTGCTACACTGCTTTAGTTTGTATTCATAGTATCTAATCGTTGGGTGAAATTATCTTACTTATTTGGCTACTAGTTTGCTGACTGTTGACTAGAAGGTGAGATCTAGGGCAGGGATGTACCTGCCTGTTGTGTCCAGCACACAGTAAAGACTCAGGATGGATTTAGAGAATGAATGAATCATAGAAGCCCCCCAATTCCTCACTCTTCAGACCTAAATGGAGCTAAGGGAGGGCAGACACTCAGAACAGCCACCTCGATATCTTGTTTCCCATTCCTGCAAGCCTAAACCTTACAGCACTGGCCAACTGTCTCAGTTCACACGCCTTCTGCTGATCTAGATTGTTCTTACTGTGGCCACCACACCATGCTCACTCCTATGACTTGGCTTGAGCAGTGCCTCCCACCTGGAATGCCTTCCAATGCCCAGCTCAAGTTCACTTCCTCTTGTCACCATTCTTCTCACCTCTTTTCTTTGAGCTCCTCTAGTTCTTACAATCTGATGTCCAGATCTGATGCTTCACTGTGTGCATCACTGTGTACCTAGGGGTGTTTACTTTAAATACTGAGTGCACACAATGTGCCCAGTGCTTTGCAAATGCCATCTAATTTAATTTAGCTGTGAGCTAAGATGGAGCAGGGGGTTATTATCCCTATTTGTAGATGAGGACACTGCGGCTCAAAGAGTTGAAGTGACTTTCCCCGGTTTTGGAAATGGGATTCAAACCCAGGCCTTGCAGACTCCAGAGTCCTGTTTTGCTCCTGGCTGCTGAGTGAGGCTGTTTCTAAGAGGTCTCCTTCTGCACTTCCCCAACACAAGAGGCCACCAATACGAACTCCCCAGGCCTGACCATCAGAAGCCTGAGGTTTGAACCCCGTTCCGCCTCTTCTCGGGTTAGATGCTTGCTTTGTGACCTGGGATTTCTCTAATCGGTCACTGGTTTGGCTCTGATCAGATCTCCTGAGGGCCACTGACAAATCAGACCGGCCCTCTGGTCTCCCTCCCTCCCTCCCTCCCTCCCTCCCTCCCTCCCGGCCCTGTCCCAGGCACAGTGGGAGTCCTTTACACTTGTCTGGCACTTTTCCGCGGCTCTGAGCCGGTCTCAGCTCTACCACTGAAGTTGTTCCCCCATTTTCCAGACAGGTAAACTGAGGACAGCAGACTGGAAGGCCTTGCCGGGCCGGTTCTTACCCTTGTTCTTCTGCGTCCGAGCAATCTCCTTCTCGATCTCCGAGATCTTTTCCAAGATCCCCATGGCAGCGGCCGAGCTGGGGGCGCCGACTGTAACGGCGGCGGCACCAGGAACTACGGGTCTGACGGCGGCGGCAAAGCAGCGTGAGCCCGGAAGCCACGGACAACAGCGTCCTTGCGGGCGCCCGGTGCTCCGAGATTCAGCGTCCGGGCGGGCGTCGTCGAGCGCAGTGCCAGACACTATCGGTTCCGCCCCCCGGCGGCGCAGGCCTGGCGGGGACCCGGCAGTGACGCGCAGGGCCGTGGCTAAGACTGGCAGGAGGCGCCGGGGGATGATCCCTGAACTGCCGGCCCGGGGCACAGCTGACTTTGACAGTGTTAGGAAAAGGGGCTGACCGGAAAACCTGGCGGCTCTTATATTTGTATAGAAGTTGAAAGAGGATCCCCATTATCCTCTCAGCACTGCTGGCTGTTAGATGCCTCCCGGCAGGCATCTCCCAGGTGGGGTCTTGCCCTAAACGCTGTACTTGAGTTGAGACAGGAGGAAGCATCAGATGTTGAAAGTAAAACACTTCATAGACAGGCTGCCCAAGCACTACAAAATTGTCGATGACTGGGAGGAAATAGGCAGGGGGGGCTTGTTCTAGATTAAACGGTGAAATATGATGTGCACGACTTGCCTGGATTTTGGTTGAAAAACCGAAAAAAGGCTCGGCACTTGTGGGTCAAGTGGCTAAGGCGCCAGCCACATACACCTAAGGTGGCGGGTTCCAATCCAGCCCGGGGCCGCCAAACAACAATGACGGCTG